GCAAATGCTGCACAATTCAGGTGTAGAAAAGCTCTTAAGAGACATACCCAGAAAGACAAACAGGTGTAATCACTGCCAAAGGTGGTTCTACAAAGTATTGACTCAGGGGTGTGAATACTTATGTAAATGAGAGCGTATTTCTGTATTACATTTTTTATAAATTAGCACAAAAAAATACTAACATGTTTTCACTTTGTCATTATGGGTATTGTGTGTAGATGGGAGGAAAACAATTTTATTTATGCAAATTAGACACTTCTGTATTTTAACATATTTTTCGATTTTCTAATACCATTAGAAAATGTATACGAGTGCATTCTAAGAAAAAAGTGAATTTTGACAATAAACGTAATAATTGAATTCCCACCAAAATCCCTGGATAAAATATTACAACCAATTCTAAAGGAATTTGGGGACTATAAGAACAGATGGCAGAAGCCATTGAACCAGCTGACTGACAGGGTACTATCCAAAGATGACTCGTCATGTGGGCCGGCCCCCTCCAAATGCCTCCCCTGCAGCTCTTCAGAAAGGAGTTGGTAGTTGCTGAGCAAGTCGGTCTATGACAGGAGGGGGATGGTACTTAATAGAGGAGAAATAGGACCCCCACCTGACCTTCACTGACACTCTATTGCAGGGCCTCTGTCATTTATCACCATCTTACCTTTTAAAAATAGCACCCCAATCTTCACCAGCAAAGGCTTGCCACTGAGGACTTAGCAAGGGCTTTTATTTTTAAATGCTGGTACATGCCAAGTGAGAGCAACAACATACTGGGACAACTCCCACATTATTGTTCTCTTGCAAAACCATTTTGTTTTGAACTTCAAACTGATTTGCTAGGTATGCATGTGTGTTTCTCTGTACCTTGAATAAAGGAGGAATGAAGGGCAATCTTGAAATAATCGGAATCTGATAAAAACAAAGATAAATCTGCTAGAGTAATTTGAAGCACCCTTTATTTCAGGTTGCGACGAAAACAGATCTGTTGAAATATTCTGCTGCCAGTTGAGGGCACGCAATCAATTCAAGCATTTATCCGTTTGATACAACCACAGGCATTCTAGATGCAGATGAGAAATCACAAATCAAAACTCTATTCCCATCGCAATCTGTACACATGATAAAGTCTTCAAGTGTAAACAATCAGAGGATATTCAACCTAAAGTACATAAGAAATAGGTCAGAATAAATCTGATATGGAAATACAAAAGTATAAAAAACGCTATAGTTTACAAAATGGCAAAGTTTTTAAGAGTACAAAAACCTAAATATTGCACTCAAAACTGTGTTAAGCCATTGTATATCCACTTCAATCAACTCCTTACGAAAACATTCTGAAGCAACCAACTTCTTCCTTACTCCTAAATTCTCTTAATATCTCTGAAACATTGAAACTAGAGTCTCTGCCATGAACATTCAGGTTAAAATAACCTTCAGAAGTAGTAAATAGTTTGTTCATTTGTTCAGTTCGTATATTTTCAAGTTCCATCACTCCTCCTCTTCGTCCCCTTCCGCATCCTCAAACTCGTCATCGTCGACCATTCCAAAGTCCATCTTGGCCAGGACGACCTCCACATGCTCCGTGGATAGTGTGAAGTGGTCCATCTTCTCGAAGCCCGGCTCGGGCCTCTCCTCGCCCAGGGAGCTCTTGGCGGTGTCCTTGGTCTGTGTAATCAGGCCCTTGGAAGCCAGCAGGAACTCTGCAGCACCGCTCTGCTCCAGGGCCTGTACTGCAGTGTCAGTCAGCTCTGAGCCTGCCTGCAGTCGCTCGCCATAGCGCTGGGCAAGCGCCCTTAACGCTGTCACCTTCTCGTCCTGCTCCTTGCCGATCTGTTCTAGCAGAATGCCCTTACGCTCCTCCAGCACGGCGTAAAGCAGGTCGAAGCGCTCGCCCAGACTTTGCTTGGCGCGCTGTGCGTTGTCCTGCACCGCCCGGCAGGCGTCCTCCATCTGGTTGAGTAGGGCCTGAAGGCGCCCATTGCCAGCCACCAGGGCATCGATGGCGTTGCTGAGCTCGCCCTTCTGCACCTGGTAGACACTGGCCAGCGGGGACACTTCACAGTCCTTGTGCTGGCCAAACACCTTGCACATGGAACAGGTGGGTGTCTGGCAGGTCACGCAGTAGATGTTGATCTTCTCCTCCTCGTGCTCCTGGCACATGGGTTCCTTAGAATCCTTGGGCTTCAATGTAGTCTCTGTGCTGTCTCTGCTGCCACTACCCCCGCCGCCCTCCTGCTGTTGCTTGTAGATGTCGATTATGTTCTCCACCAGCAGGTTGCGTTGAAGGCCGTGCACGCCGTGGCGGTCCAGGACCACCTCGAAGCGGCAGGTGGGGCAGCGGAAGACGCCGCCCGAGAAGCGGTAGGGATTGCGTGAGTCGTAGAGGTCACTGGCACAGCCACGGCACAGGTTGTGCTGGCAGGGCAGGATGACCACGGGCTTAGTGAACATTTCCAGGCAGATGGGGCAGCTCAGCTGCTTCTCCAGGCTCTCCATGGGGCTGGGTGGACGCACCACCGAGCCTGTTCTCTGGACATCCATGCTGAAATAGGCTTCTCCTTGATGTTGGGCTAGAAAAGCTGAGTCTCTTTTTCGACAGAGCCTTCTCAAACTTCACAGTGGGTCTTGGATGACTGCTTCTTCTCCTATAGGCCAGTAACTAGAGGATGGGGGCTGAGCCTCTCTCTTTGGTAGCTGCTTCAGAGTCTGCTGAAGTGCTGACATCTGTTCTGACTGGGGAATAGCAGCCCTGTCCTTTATACCAGCATTTCACAGCCAGCGACACCCGATCTCTCCCACCAACCAGGGAACACATTCCTCCCTGCTTGTTTGCCAGGCTCTTTTCGGAGAAAATGGCCCCCACCCACTGGCTGCTGCATGTGTCATATGTTACACAAGGAGCCAGGTCCACTCCCGCAGTGACAGAAATCTGCCAGGGCCAGGGGTACATTCAGCAGGGATAAAGGACCCCATGTGACTGTCCCGGAGCAGTCGCACCTGAGGGAGGTTTCCTTAAGGGTAAACAACATGCCCTGTCACATCAACACAACCCTGACTGTTTACCACAAGCTGGTTTTCCAGGAGTATTACGACAAAGCCAGCCTAGGCTTCATAAAGCTGACCACCTTTCTCGCTGGTGTAGCCTACTTATCGACTCTGGTCATATCAGAGCACTTCAGTGGATTAAATAAAACTCTTAGCAAGCATTCACAACAAGAACCTCTGTGGTAGACCCCCAAACCTACTGTTTGATGTTTAATGCTCATGACATGCATTGCATCATCCTATAAATAGGCAAAAGTTTTTTGCCCCTTCTACATATGCCCACTGAATAGTGTTTTGAATCCAACATCTTACTCGATAAACTGTCCCAACAAATCAAGCTGGATAAAATCGCTCCCAGTGAAATTTCTTTGGATTGATTGCCATTATATTACACGAGAGGTCAGCTATAGGTTAAACCCCAGATCATGGAAATTAAGATGTCTTGAGTAACTCTTCTGTGAATGTGTAGCACATTCCATGATGTTGAAAAATTATCAAAATAAAGAACAGTGAGCACCAGGGATGAGCAATTCTTAACCTTGCCCGCATGAGTGACTTCATGTGTGGGCCTACCAGGTTCCAAAAGTTAGTGGTGTGAGCAGTGAAGGTCATAGGTGTTTCCATATGGTTTCCATATGACATTATCTTATCTGCAGAGGCATGAGCTTACTGATGGATATTTTAGTGTGATTTAAGAAGACACCATCTTATCGGTCCATTTCATAACCTTGTGACAATACCTTTGTAATATACTCGTTATCTATATTGACTACTGTCATTTTGAGAATCAAGAAAAATGATCTGTTTTGAACAATTGTGGTAGGCTAAATGGTGTGATGCTGCTTATGGTTTAGAGGGCTAGATTAAACAAGGCAAACTGTATCATATCATGCTGTGCTACAATGGGACAATTTGTGAGTGGACAAATAGCCTATTAATTTTCAATGAGGTATTACAAAAGCTTTTAAAGATAGAATCCGCAGTATGGGGAAACAGCTCCACTGTCCGCCCCACGGCCGTTATTGTTTTGTTGACGAAGCAGAGCTGGGGAGCGTCACACATCGTAAATATACATATGCTGCTGTCGCGTGTGCAATGAGGGGGGGGGGAAACTGTTTGTTGTTTGCAGTAACTTCTTTGTTGTTCTTATAGATCAAATGGACATGGCAGTTTCACCATTCATGATTCCAGCTTTAAGCTCGAATTGTTGTATTTATGTTTGCCCTCCATTAACACTTCACAGCTGGGATACAATGTAGGCCTATGTAGGATGCAAGTGGCGCCCTCTTTTGATCATCAAGAACCCTCAATAGGCAGCAGACTTCAATGTGAAAGACATTGCAAAATGTGCTACATAACAATAGTGTGGGGCCACTCTTTTCATAATGTAAGTAAGAATACATGTTTAGTGTCCATTCTTACATCAACTACCGAACATATTTTATTTCATCCTGCTACAAATTGTCCAAAGCAAATTCTAACATGAAAAACATGGAGCTGCAAATTGTGTGAACCGCTAAACATCTTACAAATCTATCCTTATCCAGTGTATTTCTTCTTGTCTAGCCTCAGGTTTAGGCTATGAATACAGTAAGTTAGTGAGAGACCAAGCCTAAGCAAGAGTTAAGTCAGTCTCAACAGGTCAATACAGTGAGCCTCAAACAAGTCTGCAGTCAATCAATCACTTAATGTGTAGCATTACTCTCTGGAGCCTATTCAATAACATCCAGTAACAGAGTCACCAGAATGTGTCAAAAACAAATATTTTTCTCACCAGAAGACATACACAAACAAAACAGCATGCATATTCTTAGATCCTCTGCAGGACTAATGTTAAATTTGACAACCTGGAAACACAGTCACAAAACCATGTGATCAGTCACATTGTGTTAGAAATGCATGTTGAGCCACATATGTGTGTAGGGTGTGTTTTAAATGAAAGCCATCATTCAGGTCAGGTGTGTGCAATTGGTCACAGAAAAGTGCACGGACATGACAGTACCTCGCAGGGCCTCCATGACTGGCAGGATGTTCTCAGACCACTGGTGAGCTGCGATGGCCAAGTAGATCCCTGGGAAGTCTCGCTGCCATATACGCTGACCCACGGCCCACACGGCCGTCAGCTCTAGGTTTGCCTGCACACACCACATGTTTCAACCCACTTCACCAACATTACCATACATTGGGGCCTAGACTATACTGAGAGAAATGCAGGCTAGGAGTCTTGTTGCTAGTGACACATTGGACACACTCATTCTCATGTGTTGAATTAATTCAGCGTGCAGGGCAGGTCCCACTTTTCTACCATAATTTTCAACGTGGGAAATTATACAATGAGTACCTATTCAATAGTTACAGGGTTCCCAGTATAGCTTTAACTCATGTTTGCCTAACAACTAGGGATGTTAACAGATAACCGTTAATCGGTTAGCTGCTGAAAATACATTTGATCGGTCATGCTTATCAGTCTATAGGTTAAATTGCATAATTTAGTGGAATTAAATTGGCACGCGTGTATATTCATTAGTTGTCATGTATCTTACCACACCTGCACAGCATAAAGCCTAGTTTCAGGAGCGGAATGGCCCATCACCCTGTTCCTTGAGTGATGCAGGTACTGCAGGAATTTGTTTCAACTAGGCACCACACCTGACCAACTGAGCTAACTGATCAGTTCAGTGATTGCCTAAATTCAACACACCTGGTCTTCCTGCAACACTCCAGGACCAGGGTTGCTTACCCCTGGCCTGTCAGACAGCGCGAGAGCAGCTCATTAAACAGCTGGAGTGAAGTGCGTGCTTTTATAAGCCCAGTCATTGCGCAACAAATAACAATTCTAAATGCAATTGCTTGTTAACTGTTTTTGATGGCCACAATTAAGAGCTACCATTTTAATTTCTCAAACTCAACTCAACTAATTAAAGCGTGCCTCCCATTCAAGTACATAGGCTAGTCAACAATAGGCAGGCTATCATCGCGTCACCCACCACTTTGCAATGTGAGCTTGAGGCAGTATAATTGTTTGAAACCTGAAAGTTTTATTTTGGTTAAAATAATGAGGCATGTCTTTACTTGCTTCAACTTGGAGGTAATTATTTTATAAAGACTTCATGCCATTGGTTTTCATATCAACTTTCCTTCATTGTCCAGAAGCCAAAGGCAAAATCCTAGTCATATTAGCAACCCATCCTAGTTGTTGCTATTAGATTACCCTCTTTCTATGATTGAGATTTTCATCTCAGTCACATATGGAACCACTCACATTTGGTGCACTGTTTAGAACAGTGTTTTCCTGTTAATTGCATTTTGGAAAATGTTTGAAAATGAGGATTTATTAACTGCTTCATTACAGAATTTGCATGTTCAATAATAGGCTATAGCCTTTCAACTGTAAAACAATAGCCTTGCTATTGTTGCATGTTTCCATTAAACTCTTGATGAAAAATGTCTTCCTTGTGTGCATGCATTATATTTTGGTCAGTCATTTGACTGTTTGGAGAGAAAAAAATCTGTTTGTTGACCGGTTAATGGGGGTCAGTTAGTCGCAGGAAAATTGACCGAAATTTGCATCCCTACTAACAAAAATATGCTTTTGACACTAAGACATTTACAAACATTTACAGCTAAGTATGAGAAATTCTAACCCTTCTCACCGTTTTAATGGCTTGAGGAATTCGCTTCCACAGGTACCTTGCATTATTCCTGTAAAAATAGTAAAAGTCATCTGACAATTAATTCCAGTCATGTCTCAGTGGGCAGAAAACCTTATCTTTAGAAGGGCTTTAAGAAAGGCATAGCCTGACTTGCATGTCATTGTGCAGTAGATAGAGCGCCAACAGCTGGGCATACACTTGAGGGGTAGCAATGCCACCTGGAGCCTGGCAATAAGAAAAGCATGAATTAGACGATGTCTATGGTCAGACCATTCTAGCTAATGACTCATAAAGTTCCAAACTTGGTAGCACACTCATGACTTAGGTTAGCCCAATAATGGACTAAAGGAGCCTACGTTACTCCTTACATGTTCTGTTTAAAGGCGAATTGGCTCTGGAAGTCAAAACAGCCAAATATTCCATCTAATCCTGAATCGATTCTCAACTGCGGTACGGTTCTAGAATTAAATCCCTCTACTTTTCATATCACATCAAACATTTCACAAATGCAAAATACACTTACTGTACATTGTTTTAACCGGTTTTAACAGTTGCAGCCAACGATATATTTCAGTGACATGTTTTTAAAAAATGATTTCTCGCAGATATGATATAAGGTCCTTAGGGTTCCAAAACCGTCCCGCAAGCGATGCGTGTTAAGCTTCATGTCCACCAGATGCGTCAAACTCTTTGCGTTCTGGCGTAAGTCATTAATTGTCAATGGAGCAGTCCGCAACGCTATGTTTAGGATGCCGCACTAGGCTGCGGTGCTTTCTGTGTACCGCATGCGTTCAATATTTTCAACTTGTGCGTTGCATTACCATGCGGTGGTAGAAACTGAAGTTTGTAAAAGTTCCCATGGCAGGGGTGGAACCATACAGAGGCCAAATTATGACTATTGTGTAGTTAGAGATGAGAAGATACCGGCTGAATGACTGGAAATTTGTCTCAGGTAAGAATGACATTGGGACAATTCATCATTACTACATTTGGGTAGTGCGCCCTGTTGGCTAGTTTTCCCGAAACCAGCTAACAGAATGGCTTGCAAAATGAATATGCACAGAACTGTTCTGAGCATAATTTTGCATTCCATCATGCAGGACGACCTAGTGATTTGAAATCAGTACTCTATATGGGAACAACCAGAAGCCATGGATTACAGGAAACATCCGCACTGAGCTAAAGGGTAGAGCTGCCGCTTTCAAGGAACGGGACTCTAACCCGGACGCTTATAAGAAATCCCGCTATGCCCTCCGACGAACCATCAAACAGGCAAAGAGTCAATCCAGGGCTAAGATTGAATCGTACTACACTGGCTCTGACGCTCGTCGGATGTGGCAGGGCTTGAAAACTATTACAGACTACAAAGGGAAGCACAGCCGCGAGCTGCCCAGTGACACAAGCCTACCAGACGAGCTAAACCACTTCTATGCTCGCTTCGAGGCAAGCAACACTGAAGCATGCATGAGAGCACCAGCTGTTCCGGATGACTATGTGATCACGCTCTCCGTAGCCGATGTGAGTAAGACTTTTAAGCAGTTCAACATTCACAAGGCCGCAGGGCCAGACGGATTACCAGGACGTGTACTCCGAGCATGTGCTGACCAACTGGCAAGTGTCTTCACTGACATTTTCAACATGTCCCTGACTGAGTCTGTAATACCAACATGTTTCAAGCAGACCACCATAGTCCCCGTGCCCAAGGACTCTAAGATAACCTGCCTAAATGACTACCGACCCGTAGCACTGACGTCTGTAGCCATGACGTGCTTTGAAAGGCTGGTCATGGCTCACATCAACAGCATTATCCCAGAAACCCTAGACCCACTCCAATTTGCATACCGCCCCAACAGATCCACAGATGTTGCAATCTCTATTGCACTCCACACTGCCCTTTCCCACCTGGACAAGAGGAACACCTACGTGAGAATGCTATTCATTGACTACAGCTCAGCATTCAACACCATAGTGCCCTCTAAGCTCATCACTAAGCTAAGGATCCTGGGACTAAACACCTCCCTCTGCAACTGGATCCTGGACTTCCTGACGGGCCGCCCCCAGGTGGTAAGGGTAGGTAACAACACATCTGCCACGCTGATCCTCAACACGGGGGCCCCTCAGGGGTGCGTGCTCAGTCCCCTCCTGTACTCTCTGTTCACCCATGACTGCATGGCCAGGCACGAATCCAACACCATCATTAAGTTTGCCGACGACACAACAGTGGTAGGCCTGATCACCGACAACGATGAGACAGCCTATAGGGAGGAGGTCAGAGACCTGGCCGTGTGGTGCCAGGACAACAACCTCTCCCTCAACGTGACCAAGACAAAGGAGATGATTGTGGACTACAGGAAAAAAAAGAGGACTGAGCACGCCCCCATTCTCATCGACGGGGCTGTAGTGGAACAGGTTGAGAGCTTCAAGTTCCTTGGTGTCCACATAACCAACGAACTATCATGGTCCAAACACACCAAGACAGTCGTGAAGAGGGCACGACAAAGCCTATTCCCCCTCAGGAGACTGAAAAGATTTGGCATGGGTCCTCAGATCCTCAAAAAATTATACAGCTGCACCATCGAGAGCATCCTGACTGGTTGCATCACCGCCTGGTATGGCAACTGCTTGGCCTCCGACCGCAAGGCACTACAGAGGGTAGTGCGTACGGCCCAGTACATCACTGGGGCCAAGCTTCCTGCCATCCAGGACCTCTATACCAGGCGGAGTCAGAGGAAGGCCCTCAAAATTGTCAAAGACTCCAGCCACCCTAGTCATAGACTGTTCTCCCTGCTATCGCACGGCAAGCGGTACCGGAGTGCCAAGTCTAGGTCCAAAAGACTTCTCAACAGCTTCTACCCCCAAGCCATAAGACTCCTGAACAGCTAATCATGGCTACCCGGACTATTTGCACTGCCCCCCCACCCCATCCTTTTTACACTGCTGCTACTCTGTTAATTATTTATGCATAGTCACTTTAACTCTACCCACATGTACATATTACTTCAACTATCTCAACTAGCCGGTGCCCCCGCACATTGACTCTGCACCGGTACCCCACTGTATATATAGCCTCCCTACTGTTATTTTATTTTACTTCTGCTCTTTTTTTCTCAACACTTTTGTTGTTGTTTTATTTTTACTTTTTTTGTTAAAAATAAATGCACTGTTGGTTAAGGGCTGTAAGTAAGCATTTCACTGTAATGTCTGCACCTGTTGTATTCGGCGCATGTGACCAATAAAATTTGATTTGTTGCTATAGATGAGTGACTGGAGAATAGAAACAAACTAGATTAATTGTTATAATGCGCCAGGCTGTGGGTAGGTCTGCCCGCCTATGAAACCAGTAGGTAGATAGGAGAATAACTTTGATCTGTTCTAATAATTAGCTTTGGTCGAACAGGGCGAAAATGATCTTCTCCATGCAAACCGTTCTGCAGCCTTGCGAAGCACATTTATCAAGTAAGGAAAATGCGGGCTAGACATATGGCAAAACGCATGTGCATTTGGTACACATGTGCATTTGGTACACATGTGCATCTGGTGGACATCTGGCATTAATGTTCAGGTGCCAAGCTAAGAATGTAGCCTTTAAAGCCACTAGTCTGAATTATGTAACTAATATACCAAAGAGTAGCATACATTTAGAACCTTTGTTTAAAACCGTGTCTGTGCATACCATCAAAGAGTAGGCCACCAACACAAAACTTACGGTTAAACGATGGACCAAATGCAAGCACTAGCCAACTGACGTACTAGGTACTTTACGCACAGCTCATTCGATTAATTGCCGCGTTAGTCAATTTCATGTTATGAGCTAGCTAGTTAGATGTGTTGTGTTCGCTACCTAACGGTGCAATTATCCATTCACGTGTGTGGATGGATAACTACTTAGCTAGCTAGTGAACTTAGCAGCCAGCTACACCAAACGTAAACAATGGAGCAGATGCAAAAGCACTAACGTTAGCTATAACTTTAGCAACATCAGAACTAGCGAAGTTAGCTAATTACGGCCGGGTAACTAGCTACTTTCACGCACAGCTCCTGCGGTGTTCAATTTAATGGTATGATGTAGCTAGCTAGCGAGACATGTTGTGTTCGCTCCCTAACATTAGTTAGTGTGTGTGGTCCGGATGGGTAACTTAGCTAGCTACAACACACAAACCAAAGCGATTATCTTCGCGAACACCGAAATACATTTAAATTATACAAGTTTGAAGAAATACTTATATAACTACCTCAAGTTCCTGTGTTTCGCACTGCTCTAAAAGTTTATCATAATTTTCACCCATTATCACTGCGGCAGGCATTTTGTTTGCTTCCCAGATCAGTCATTCGACCAGAGAATGGGTTTCCAATTCCACTAGTAGTTACCACAGCCACAAAGTCCAAATGGCTATGTCTTAAACATTTATACAAACAAACACTTTATTTTTGCTCTTAATTTAAGGTTAGGCACACGGTTTGCAGTGTGGTTAGGGATAAAATCACATTTTAAGATGAGTAATTGTAGAAATAGACGGGGTTTATGACTTTGTGGCTGTGGTAACTAGTGCCGACCCAGATACTGGGTCTCTTCTTCTTCTTCAAATTTGTATTGGTTGATCGCAACCAAGTGAAAGATGTATACACCGCTACCTACTGTATTGGAGTGTGAGGCCCCTATTCATCTATTTCTCTTATCTAGCTGTGTTTTTTTTTAGCAAGAGCGACTTACAGTTAGTGAGTGCATACACTGTTCTGGAGTGTGAATTCACTACAATTTGTGACACAAAAAGAGAAGGGGAAACATATATATTTTTTTGCCCTACCAACTAACCCTACACTCATTTAAACCTCACCACTATTCCACTACTTGGCTGATCCTACACCAGGCCGGCAGCCTGGAAGGACGGGACACTCATTCAACACACCTTGTAACTCTTCTTCAGTAAAATCTTGTACACCCAAGTACTTCTCTGCAGCTACCACCACAACATTTATGTTCTGTATTTTACGTTTGATTTCTGCAGTACAGTTCATAACCATGGCTATGAACGCTAAGAAATCAACGTGATAGCTGAAGCACGTTATTCCTATCACTCTCTATTGGCCTCGACCTACTCACAGGGAGCCTCTTAGGATCCCTCGCCCTGCATACAACACTTTCTGTACTACTCTGATCCTGGCAACCTCAACCTGCCTTTCTCTCACCGGACACTTCTTATCTCCAGCACCATGGATACCCCTAC